AAAATTGAAAATAAAAAATAAAATACAAAAATAGAATAAAAAAAAAATAAAATAAAAATATTGAATTAAACAAATTTGATAAAAATACAAATTTTCTAAATACTGATTCACTGAGAAATTTTTTAAGTATATAGAAATAAATTGATCTTTTAAGAAAATCCTTTAATTGAAATAATTAGTGTGCAAAAACTGTTTACTTTTTTTTTACTTGATTGTTTTTATTGGAAATGAAAATTTATTATTGCGAACTTCCGAATATATTAACATTGAATAAAAATATAAATAGAAAACTCTGATTAAAGGATCAGATAAATTTTATTCGAAGAGAAAGTGTTTAGAGCTACCAAATTATATGGAAGTTGTGCGTATCGTATTTTTCTAGTCAGACGAATTTCCGAGTTTTCGAATTATTTTCTCTTATTTTCGTGTTAGCGCACTTGCACGTCACTATTTCACTTTCTTTCATGACTTGTGTCTAGCACTGATCGTGTTGACTGAAAATTGATATGCATCTTTTTGATCTGTAGATTATTATTATTATTATTATTATTATTAAAATTATAAACTCGAAATGTTAATAATAATAATCAGTGTTATAAAATATGCTGGTCTAGACAAGTGATCGATATAAATATACTAATCGGAATTATTTTTTTTTCTTTTTGTCTCAAGTGATTTAATCTTTTAATCCCGAGTAATTAGATTCTTTATGGCTTAATTTCTTTATGCTAATTTCTTACAACGTTATACAACTATAGAATTATTTTATTTTTTTATTTACTTACACCCTGAGAATTGGATTTTATTTGAGTCATTAAATTAAATCAGTGATAATTATTATTATTATTATCTAAATATTATTATTATTATTATTATTATTTTATTGTAAAATATAATTTGAGGTAAATAACATTTATTTAATATTAGCTTTTTGTTAAAACCGATTTTTTAAATTATTTTAATTAAATAAATTTATATCTGTTTTAGAGACTTTAATTGTTTCAAGTAAAAAATTTACTTTGCACAAATAAAATGCTTTTGGGGTAAATAAATTTTTTTTGGTAAATTAAACAGAATTGATTTCAAACAAATAAACTTTATTTCTTATTTGTTGGAAATATTATAATTTTACACGTATAATAAATTAAAATTATTCTAATTTGTTATATAAAAAATGAAAATCGTTATAATTTGTTATATAAAAAATTGAAATTGTTATAATTTGTTATATAAAAAATGAAAATCGTTATAATTTGTTATATAAATAATTGAAATTGTTATAATTTGATACATAGAAAATTTTAATTGTTGTAATTTTTTATATAATAAACTTTATTTGAAATAAATAAATTTTATTTAAATTAAGTAAACTTTATTTGAAACAAGAAAATAATTTTCTCGGTTTATTTGAAATACAATTTTTCTTGAAACTTAAATTTGAATAGGGAGTGAAATTTTTTTGACATTCTTCACAGAAAATTTATATTTGTTCTACAGCGAATTAGAAATTTATTTGTCACAAAAAAATCTTGTTTGTTTCAAATTAAAATTTTATTTCCGCTTAAAAAAAGTTTATTTGAATCAAATATAATTTATTTGAGTTAAATAAAAAATATTTGTCTCAGTGCCTACTAAATTATTTTTTTATTTCACTGAGAAAACAATAATATTTGAATAAAACATAATTATTTCTGTAATTTATTTATTTATTTATTTATTTATTTATTTATTTATTTATTTATTTATTTATTTATTTATTTATTTATTTATAATGTCTTTTTACAGTCAATCAAAAATTATTTTTGAATTAAACATAATAATTTTGATTCAATAAAAATTACGTTTAATTCAATTATAAAATATGTTTAATTCAAACATATTTTTTTGGTTGATTACTTATTTTTGGATTAAAAAAAAAATTTTCTCAGTGTTGAATTAAATGAAATTTAATTAGAATCATATAAAATTTAGTTTGAATCGAATAAAATTTAATTTGAATCAAATAAAACTTAATTTGAATCAAATAAAATTTAGTTTGAATCGAATAAAATTTTATTTAAACCAAATATAATTTATTTGAGTTAAATAAAACTTAATTTGAATCAAATAAAATTTTATTTAAATCACATATAATTTATTTGAGTTAAATAAAAGCATATTTGAAGCAAATAAAAAATTTGAGTTTGTTCTGAGTAAAAAATTTACTTTGAGACAAATAATTTGAAACAAATAGAAATTCCAGTTGGCTCTGAGTCAAATATTTTTTTCTGGGTGCAGTGCCTACTAAATTCTTTTCTATGTGCAATGTTAGAAAAACAATTATTGTTTATTCTGATCGAATTGATTTTTAATTTTCAAAAAGTTATTAAATTATTATTTTTCAGTATTACTATTATTGTTATTACTATTATTCTTATATAAATAAAAGATGTTTCAGATTTTTTGTTTGGCCTAATGGCCAAACAGAAAAACTAAAACATCTTTTATTTATATAATTTTATGGCTTCCAAAAATATTGGTTCATTATTATCATTATTATAATTATTTTTTTTCTGCACTTTCTTGGCAAAAGAAACTCGTTGATGATTTAAGAGGTTTTCAAAGAAATTGCATAAAATTGGAGAGGGATTGTATGGATGTAGCAATGAGTGAGTGAGTAAGCGAGCAAGCGAACGATTGACGGATCAGTTTCAGTTGGTTTTTCTTTTTTACAAAAGCAGACTGGAATTTGGAGTCTCTGTGACAGTTGCAAGTAATTCGGGAAGGCGTCGTCGAGAAAAGTTGTTGCATAACGGAAAAAGAGATAGTTGTCCTGGCTACTGTAAAATGGAGAACACGAGAAGTGTTCGCATTTATACATAATAGACTGGTCGAGAGGTATATAGCTTTAAGCTAAAATTGAAGCTAAAATCGTAAACCAGTTCTCTATAGGTAAACTTTTTACACGCAGGTCTTAAGAGGAAATCTGGAGCAGATTTTATTATATAGCCACTAGCAAAAGAGTATATTTTATTAACTTGCTGTTAATTGTTACCTTTCTCAAAAAATAAAGTTGGTTAGTTATTTTTTTTTTTTTTTTTTTTTTGAAGAGTACACACGAAAGAAAATAATAATTGTTTATTCTAAAGGATGGAATGAATTTTCGATAATATTTAGAATTGTTTAAACAAATTGTAAAATTTAATGTCATTTGATTTTGATTTTTAGTTTGTTTTTTATTTTTAGTTTGATTTTGATTTTTAGTTTGATTTTGATTTTTAGTTCAATTTTCATTTTTAGTTTGATTTTTAATTTGATTTTTAGTTTGATTTTTATTTTTAATTTAAAATCTTTTTCGATATCAGGTGTGATGTATAAGATTACAATTTGAAATTATGCAGAGTTAACTCCGGAACCGGTTTATAATATTGCGAGTATTATTAAATTAAATACGATTTCTGCCTTCCTTTTGGTTAGCGCCTTTGATTTTCACTCTTATTCGCGTAATTTGACTCGATTGCTTATTAGAAGCTCTAATTGTTGAAAGAATCAAATGAAAGTAGACACGTTGGTATATTCAATGGGTTCAATGAACTTTTTTCTTATAAAAATTAATGTTCTCCATTTTCCATTTAAATAATTAGAGATGAAAAACAATTTGAAAAACAATTAGTAATTTTAATTAGTGAAATTTAACTTTCCTATTTTTTTTTCTTTTCTCGATTATAGAACTTTTACGTGTAAGGGAATTGTTAAAAAAAATTTTGAAGGCTTATAAATATTCCCAGTAGCAGAGGTTTCACTTTTATGCGAGTCCCTTTTAAGCAGGTTCGACTGAAATTTATTAAAAATCCGTGAAAATTTTTGTCTTCCAAAAAAAAATTTTTTTCTACTTGACAATTACCGATAAAAAACTAAAAAGAAAAAATTTTTTTAAAAATAGGGCCAAAGTTAATATTTAAAAATTTGTTTACTTATTTAAGTCTAAATTTAAACATCTTTAAAATAAAATATAAATAATTAATAAATAAATGAATTTAAAACCGAATTGAATTAATTATTTCTAATTCTAATTCTCATTATTTCTTATTTCTTATAATTTATTCTATTTTTAAATTTGAGTTACTTTAATTAACAAAATTATTAATTTAATTTATTTAGAATTAATAATTACTGTAATTTTTTGATGTAAGAATTAAATTAACATTAAAGTAACAATTAATGAATTTATGAAACGTAGTTTTAATTAACAAAATAGAATATTATTCGTTAATAAATATAATCGTTATAAAATAACTAATTAAAATAATATTGTTCAAAAAACCGGAAAATTAAATAAACATCACCAATTTAAAACATTATAGAAACGAATAAATAAATAATAATAAATTAAAAGTAATTAAATAACTTAAAATATTAAATATTAAAAAAATATTAAAAATATTAAATTATAAATAATAAATTAAAAATAATAAATTAAAATTAATAAATTAAAAATAATAGATAGAAATAATAGATAGAAATAATAAAAAGAAAGAAAGAAAGAAAGAAAGAAATAATAATAAATAAATAATAAATAAATCAGGCCTGAATTAAATAATACCAAATTAAAGTTAATTTAATCAGTGAATTAATTAAATTTAATTAAATAATAATTTTTTGTATTATTACTCAATTTACATAAGCAAAATATTAATTGAACAAATAACACCATAATTAGTACTAATTTAATAATTCGATACGATTTTTTCTTATATTTGAGTCCAGAAAACGATATATAAAAATAAAAAATAGTTTAAACGATTCTGATTTGTTGAACACGTCACAATTAAAAATTAATTATTTTCATTTATAATTATGGTAAAAAATCACAAATTCACAAAGTAATCACGATCTGGAAGATTTTTGGTTTTCTTTTCAATTCACGCACCTTTAATAATTTTCAGTCACTGATTATTTGAGTAAAATTGTCATTGGATTTTTTTTTCTTTTTTTTTTTAATTTAAATGTCCTCCACTTACCTGTTGTTTTTTTAAATTAAGGCAAAGGAATAACACACTTTAGACACGAAACAGACAACACACACGAGTTTTATCTCGAGAGTTCGGTAGGACATTCTCTTATATACCAAAGCCTTTTGCTGAAAGTTGCCTCTACCGCCGAAGTTGTATGTCCCTAAAGGATTCAGGGTGGGAGAGGTTTAAGATTTGCCAGTCTTTTTCGATAAGGCAAAATGATTAATTTTTCACGAAAAAAATCTTCACAGCTTATATTATGGATCCTTCAATTTATCATTCTTTCAAAATTGTGAGAAATATCCATTTACCAAAAAAATTTAAAAAAAACTCTCTTTTTCGTTCTACTGAATCGTTTATTTCGTGGAATTTTAAGGAGATTGCGAATTTTGAGGACTTCCGCTTCTTTCATAAATTTAAATTGTTTATCTTTATAGCAGATTGTGAGGGGATTTATTCTTTTCGATGATTTTTGTAATGAAACTATTTTTTATTTTGAAATTATATTTCACAAATTTCTTATTTTATGTATTTTTCTTTTCAAAATGCAGAGAAAAAAGTTTTTGTTAATTTGAAGATTTCTTAAACTCGTTTTGTTTCGTTCGAAATAAATTTTTCCTTTGAAGAAAATTTTGTTTCAAAGAAAATTTTAATTCAAAGAAAATTTCTTTGATTTAAATAAATTTTTCCTTTGAAGAAAATTTTGTTTCAAAGAAAATTTTAATTCAAAAAAAATTTCTTTGATTTAAATAAATTTTTCATTTGAAGAAAATTTTGTTTCAAAGAAAATTTTAATTCAAAAAAAATTTCTTTGATTTAAATAAATTTTTCCTTTGAAGAAAATTTTGTTTCAAAGAAAATTTTGATTCATAGAAAATTTCTTTCATTTAAATAAATTTTCCTTGAATCTAAGAAATTAGTTCTTTAAATCAAAGAAATTTTATCATTAATATAGAGTCAAGAAAGTAATTTTTTATAATTAAAAAAGGAAAATTGTTATTTGAAACAAATAAATTGTTTTTGAATCAAGTAAATATTTTTTGGAATCAAATAAACATTTTTGATTTTTTGCAATCAAATACATTTTTTTTGAATCAAAGAATATTTGATTTTCACAACCAGAGAAAAATTTTATTTAAAACAAAATAAATATAAATTTGAGTTTAATAAAAGTATATTTGTCTCAGAACCAGAATTATTTATTTGTTTCAATTAAAAATTGTATTCGACGTAAATAAAATGTTTATTTGAACCAAATAAAATTTTATTTCGACCAAATAAAATTTATTTGAACCAAATAAAATTTTATTTAAACTAAATATTTTTTTTTGAACCAAATAAAATTTTATTTAAACTAAATATTTTTTTTTGAACCAAATAAAATTTTACTTAAACCAAATAAATTTCTTTGAACCAAATTAAATTTTATTTAAACTGAATAAATTTCTTTGAATCAAATAAAATTTTATTTAAACCAAGTAAAATTTATTTGAAACCAGGAAATAAAAAGTCTAATTGGCACTGAGTCAAATATATTTTTTTCTGAGTGCAATCAAATAAATAAGTCAAAGAAAATGATTTCTTTTATTCAACAAAACTTTTTTCTTGGTGTAGATAACCCGAAAATTTTTTTTCATATTTAATTTTTTTTTAATAAAATCATTTTTTGTTTTTAAATTAATTTTATTTTCTTTTTTTTTTTTACTAAATTTCGATCGTAGTGCAATAGTATTTTTTAGATATTTAATTATTTACTAATTTTTAAAAATGATTAATAAATTATTAATATAGATAATTAATTTATAATAATGACTTTAATAATAATAATTAATAATAAATAGTTACACAATAAATATTTAGTTATTTATTTTTGTTTATTTCATTATTTTATTATTTATTTTATTATTTTAATTATTTTATTATTATTTATTATTGTTTTTTCATTGTATTTTTCACTGTTTTGTACATGAAATTTTTATTTTTAAAACATCAGCCAGTTTTCGATTAGAGAAAATCAATTCCATAATTATATATTAGGGGGAGGGACATTTTTGAATATGATAATTATTTTAATTGATAGTTACAATAAGAAATAGTAATAAATTTGGATTTATTGAATAATTATCAATTTTATGTAATAATTGATCATAAATATTTTTCATTAAGGCATTATATAAATGAATGATGGGCGTTTATTATTTTTCATGATAATAATTGACTCAGTTTTTTTTTTTTTTTGTAGAAATTGACCTCAATACGCGAACGATATTAAATCGAGTTTGAACCTTTCTTTCAACCGGTTTTTGATGAGATCATTCAGATGACACTTTCGTTTGCGCACCTGTTCTGACTCGATTCTCGCTTTTAAGAGAAAAACTTTGTGGGAAAATTGTAAAGTCTGTAGGTAAATAAACAAATGTTTATTTGTGCTATTTTTATGTTTTTTCTTCGGAATTTTAGAATTTTTTTTTGAAAATAGGAATTTTTTAATTTTAAAAAAAAATTTTTTTTTATTTTTATTATTATATATTACTATTAATTTTTTTATATTATTATTTATTATTAATTTTCTTTTATTATTTTTTAATTTTTTTATATTATTATTTAATAAATGGTATCAGTGTATTAGTAATTTAAAAGATTGGAAAAATTGGAGAAATGTTTCTTTTCGAATATTGTTTGTTTGATATAAATTTGTTTGTTGAATGAATATTATTTTCCGAAAACATTAGAATAATATTATTGTGATTTGGAAACATTTGGAATTCAAATTAGTTTTACTTTCAATTTCGTGTATTTTGAAATCAAAAATACTTTCTTAAGCTTTTTTAAATTCAATCCGAGTCAGGACGATTGAAAGTCCCATTTATGAAGTGAATCTTTTATTGATACTTCCTTTGATGAGTTCAATAAATTTTTGCAAATTTTGCAAAATAATTGACTGTTTTATTATTATTTATTAATTATATTTTGATTTAATTCTATTATTTTTATTTTTATTCTATTTTGTTTGAACTTTTTTTGTTTTAATTTAATTTAATTTTAATTGTATTTTATTTTAATTTTGTTTTCTTTAATTTTGTTTTTATTTTATTTTCTCTCATTTTTATTGCTTCCTCATTGTCGAAGAATTATATTTTATTTTGTTGAATTTATTGTCAATTGAATGTTTTTTAATTCTTCTAACGAAATGTTTTAATTTATTTATTAGTTTTTGTTGGAAGTTCAACTAGAGTGGGGTGAAAAGAAATTTTAGCAGATGAATAAAATGGAAATAAGTCATGAACTGTTTTGTAGTCAATCGACTATTGTTTTGCTGGAGTAAATAAAATTTTACATGTTGCATTGTCCGCACCCTGAACTTATTATTGATTCTTTTTACATCTTCCGGTTAAAGAAAAAGAGAACATTTTTTTTGCTCAAAATGGGCCAATTAAATTCATTTCTTGAAGCTAATTAAAATGTATCTTTAAAAACAACTTGAACCACTTTATGTTCTTCATATCATTCGAAATTTAATTTTTTGTTTTATTGTATTTTAATTTCAAAAATATTCTTCTTTAAATCTGCATACAGAGAAAAAATTTAATTTACTAAATCCAATAAAAAAAATTATTTATTATTTAAATATTTGAATAAATAAAAGTATATTTGCCTTAAAGTTTACTGAATTATTTGCTTTGAATAAAAGATTACAAGCAAAATTTATTTGAAACAAATAAAAAAGTTTAGTAGATTCTGAGCCTTTTTTTGGGTGTCAATCACTTAAGATTTTAATTGATTCAGATTTAGAGAGTAGGATATTATTTTTTATTTTAGCAGATTATTATATAGTCAAAACATTTTTGAATAATATTTTTTCACTATAATTGCCGGTTGTGGAATTCTTTTGGGACAAATTTGCAATTAACATTATTTTTCCATTTAAAAGAATGTCTTCTTTCGATTAAAAAATTTCGTAACGATAGAAATACGTAACTAAATTATTTTTGTTATCCATGTAATAATATTTTATTATACATATAATAAAAAATTGCTAAAGAGTGCAATTTTATAGAAATGTGTTATTAGAAAAAAAGCTAAAAAGCTTTAAATTTTCACGTAAGAATCAAAGAAGAACATTAATTTATATTCTTTCCATGGTCCAATGCGGATCTTACATCACTATAATAGATAATATTTTCCACTGTATACTGAAATCTATTCGTCGAAAGTCTTTCTTTATGCACACCTCAATGCTCCGTATTATATCCGATTAACAACGGACTAGACTTCCGCGAGATAATTCTCAAGTCCCACGTACACTTGACCGCAAAAACTATCTTGACTAAAAAAAATGTCCCAATTTTTTTCACTGCGTTTGTAAAAAAAAAACTCGCAGAATTTCTCAAAAAATTGCTATTGTTAAGCAACTTGTTTTAAATGTAGAAAATATTATTTTTTGTAGAGAAATAATAATAATTTGTGAGAAAGTCTAAAAATATTTTTCCAAATTATACATTTGAAATCGTCTAATAGTTAAAATAAAATTCTTAAAAACAATTCAATTATTTTCAAAAATTTTAAGATAATTTTTTCTCAAGAATTCAATTATTTTTAATATCTACTATTTTAATAGGATTTCACAAAAGAATTCAATTAGTGAAAAAAATTTAATAATAATTTCTTCTCCAAAATTCAATTATTTCATAAATAATAAAATTTTACCCCAAAATTAAATTATTTTCATTAATAATAAATTTTTTCTCTAAAACTCAAATATTTTCATAAATAAAATAAAATTTTGACAAAAATCCATTTATTTAAAATGCAATTTTTATAAATTTTTTTAAAATAAATTAATTATTTAAGAAAATTTTTATAAAATTCTCCGAGAGAAGACAATTATTTTTTAAGAATTTAAATAAAATTTTGTTTATAAGAAATCATATTTTTTTTAATACAGTTGTAATTAAATTCCCTGGAATAATTTCAATTAAGTTATATGCAAAAATTCAATTATTTTCACAAATAATAAAATTCTACACAGAAATTCAATTATATTCATAAATAATAAAATTCTTCTCAGGATTTCAATTATTTTTAATGCAATTTGAAATAAATTCCTCGAAAATTGCA